TTGAAGAAGCCTGTCTGACCCAGGGAGTTTCCACAATCCCATGCACAATAGGCCAACTATGGGCGTTTGCTAAGGCACTGTGTGATCATGGGGGCAAAACATTAACCTTTAAGCCCCTAGCTTCTACAAAAGGATAGGCGCATTGGGAAGAGGCTAGACCCACGTCCATGTTTACTACAGCTGGCCGGCTGGACACGAAGAGGCCCTCTTGGAATTCTTGATGATGTATTAGTAACAAGGTTGGAAAGTTTGTGTTCCCCATTAGATTTTGTCATTCTTGATTTTCGGGTTGATAGGAAATTCCCATAATTTTGGGAAGACCATTCTTGGCCACCGGGAGAGCTTTAAATTGATTATGAAAACTGGAGAGCTCAAAATGAAATTAAAATTTGTGATGAGATAACATTCAACGTGCAGAAATCTATGCGGCGACCAAGTGAATTTTGCTAATTGCTCTCTAATAAGACCCTCTAGCAGTCTTTCTCATGAAAGATTGAAGCCCAAATTGGAGAAGACTGGCAGAAGGGTACGTTGCTCTTGAAAAGGCCAGGTTTTTGGACAAGGGAGCTCGAATTTGGAGCCCCTTTGCACTTAGAGGAAAGAAAAACTCCTCTCAGCTAAGCCATCGTAGAAGAGCCACCAAAATTGGAGACTGAAACCACTGCCATCCTCATCTCAGGTATGCCTTTCTTAGGACCGAACTCAACTTTACCTATTATTTACTCATCTAGTTTTTGTTAGATGTACAGGCAGAACAAACTTTTGCAGGGTACTGATGGAGTGCAAAACTGCAAATTGGGTGGACCATTGCAAACATTAAGGGTATCAGCCGGCCTTCCTGTATGCATAAGAAATTTTACTGGAAGATGGGCACATTAAGACCTTCCCAGAGAACATCAAAGAAGGCTGAACCTCAAACAATGAAAGAAGTGGTGAGAAAGATGTGAATTAAATGGTTAAGATGCGGAATCATATTCCCCATCTCTGACAGCAACTGAGTTAGCCCAGTTCAGTGTGTGCCAAAAAAATGGAGGTATGAACAGTAGTGAAAAATGAAAGAATGAATGATCTCTAACACGAACGTACAGGTTGGCGGATCTTGTATGGAATTACAGAAAGTTGAAAAAGATCAACCCTTTGTGTTTTTCTAATGAATGCAGGGTAGCGTTTGAGGAATGGAAAGAAGAGACTGGTAACGAACTTATCATAGTTGGCCCCGACTAGGGCATCCATTTGAGCTGATGTGTTGATGCGAGTGACTATGCTGTGGGAGTAGTTCTTATTGGCAGCGAAAAGATAAAATCAATGCCATCCAATATATTACGGCAAGTAAGAACGCTGAGTGGAGCCAGCTAATTACACTATGACCGAGAATGAGATGCTGGCAGTGGTTTCGCATTTGACAAATTCAGGTCCTAACCTGAATAAGGATCGAAGGTAATTGTTTATACTGACCATGCTGCTCTCAGGTAATCGAAGAAGAAAGAGTCAAAAGTCGTGCTTGATTCGATGGAATGGCTACTGCTGCAAAATTTGATTTGGAAAATCAGTGACGAAAGGGTACGGAAGAACCAAGTAGCTGAATCATTTGTCTAGGCTGGAAGGAGCTGAAGAAGAAGGCTGAGGTAGAATAGATTCTGGAAACTTTTCCCAGATGAACAACTTACTAAGCACAATCTGAGTGAAGTGGCATTGGTATGCAGACATTTGCAAAACCTACCTGGCAAACGGTATTGTTCCTTAAATGACCTTCCTCTGTCCAAAGAAAAGTTCTTTCGTGATTGCCGCCATGTATTATTGGGATGAACATAAATATGGATCCGGAGATGTATCCACGAGATATACCAGTCTTCTTAATTTGCAGGCATGTCACGCTCACCATATGGTTGGGCATTTCGGGGGAAGTAAGGAACAGCTGCGAAAGGTTTGGAGTCGGGCCTTCTACTTGGCCAACATTGTTCAAGGATGCACAATTTATGGATAAAAGGTTTGTGAATATGCCAACAAACCGGGAATTTTTCCCGCCGACATGAGATGCCCAGAACCCAATTCCAGGAGGTAAGAAGTGGTTTTTATGTATGAGGAATGAGACTTCTAATGGGGCCCTTCGTCAGCTCATATGGCAACAAAAGTTTTACATGGCTCCTGTCGCTGTGGATACGTGTCAAATGGGTGGAAGGCTGCATACGTCTCCTACAATGATGCAAGGGGGTAATTGGTTTTTTTGAGAAAGAACATATTTACTTCGATTGGCACTCCCAAAGGCAAATAAATCAGTGACGGAGGCGCTCAACGTTTTGTAATCGAGCCTTCGCGAGTTGTTAGAGAAGTACGATGTATGCCACAAAAGGTTGGCCACCCCATACATCCACAAACACGAGTGGCAAGTGGAAGTTTCGAACAGGGAGAATAAAGAGTGTGTTTGACTAAACTGTTGAATGCTACTAGAACAAATTGGGCAAGGAAGTAAGATGATGCCTCTGGGGCTTATCGGAACTGCCTTCAAAACTCTAAATCGGCAAGTGTCGCATAACAAGTTGTGTTTGGAAAGGCGTGTCAATACCGGTGGAGTTGGAAACATAGAAGCTTGGGTGGCATTTTGAGGCAGTTGAATCTTCGATTTAGAAGCTGTAGGAACAAGTAGAGTCACGGAGTTACATGAGCTTTGATGAGTTCCCGATATCACGCTTTTTGAGAGCACAAGATTAATGCAAGAGAGAATGAAGATGATACATGAATAAAAATATTATTAGAGCGGAGTTTAAACCCAGAGATACGGTAATTGCTAATAACAAACTCAAGCTGAGGTTATTTCCGGGCAAATTAAAGTCACGATGGTCAGGAACCTTTTTTCGCATGGTTGAAATTCACCCCACTGGTGCCGTAGAGATTGCTGTGGAAAATGACTCTCCGCACGTTCAGAGTCAATGGGCACACGAATTAAAAGTTATGTGGGCATGGATGAGTAAAGGTTAGTGTCAGTGCCCATCTGATCGAGCTCCCGATATTGAGCACACCGTAAATGTGCTTACCTGCATCGTGGCCAACGATGTTAGATCAGGTGCTCAAGGGAGGTAACCCATTGGTCTGTTGTATTCGTCATGCCATGGCGTTAACTAAGGCGCTTGTTGGGAGGAAACCCAATTCGTAGTTGATTTTTAGTGTAGTTAGAAGAATTTTTTCTCTTTTGTTTTAAGATACTAACAAGCTTGCAGGTGAAGTTTGGACAAGTCGAGCAAAGGTTTATAGATAATCACAGTCATTTATTACTTCTACCAATATCAGTAGTAATAGCAATCCAACAATTTATATGAGTAAATAAATACCGCAAATATTGTTTATATTCATGTTTATATTTATAAATATCGCTCTTTACGGTTGCGCGATGCCAACCTTTATAAGTAGGATTAAAAACTTTTCTAATATAATGCACAAAGCTAGGGTTAGAAGGAAAACTATAGGGTAAGCACATAACGGTAACCTTCTTTGCTAATTCTTCACGATCTTTATTTGGATCGTAATATAAAATACCACCGGTCACAGTGTTAATTCCTGGTTGAACTAGATTTGAACCTGTACTAGGGTTAACCGTAGTATCTACACTTGTCCCCTCTAGCTGCGCTTTCATTTGTAAAAGTTTATCTTTATCTCTAGGGTGTGTTTTTATGTGCCTAGCCAAACTACCCGTACCGCTACGGTCTCCAGTAAATTTATGTGCCAGCAAACTCCCACAAGTTTTACACTTAGCCTTATTTTGTTCTCTTAATTGAGTAAAAAAATTCCAAACAAGTGATGCTTCTGGGCGTTTAGAAGGTTGTCTATTAAAAGTAGGGGTTTCTACAGGTGGGTCGGGCGGGGCATCAGTTGGGTTATTAACAGGACTAGTATGTGTATCATCTAAATCCGGTTGGGTTTCATCTACATCATCATTTTTAAAAATAGTTTCATTAGGATAAAGAGCATTCATAACTTCATCATTTAATTGTTGACCTGGTGCAACATTATGACAAAATTCACTATCGGAAAATTGAAAACAAGGCTTATCACTATCAAGAATAATAGGTGCATGAGGACGGGTAACAAGTCTGGGTCGGGGAGCCGGGGGAAGGGTAGTAGGTTAGCGACTACTTTCACCAATTTTAGATTTTCCCTTACCACCAAATATTTTTTTCAAAGAAAATGCCATATTAATTAGCCTTAAAAATTAATATGCAAACTAAAACACACAAAAATATATTCTTAAAACTTAAGAGTTGGAACGAGTTTACCGAATTGCCGAACAACTTCTTGAAAATTGAAAATTGTTGAAGACTTGAAGACTTGAATACTTCAATTCACCAACTTCACAATTTTTCACGAAATTGCACTAATAAAATAAGCAATTATAGAAGAGAATTAGATATAGATTGAGAGAGATTGAGAAAGATTGATGAATTTGTGAGTAAAAATGAAAGAATAAGGGGATATTTATAGTTGAGAATTGGGAAAAAGTGTAATTACATAAAGTTTGGGGTTAAAATAAAGTTTGGGGGCCAAATGACTATTTTTTAAAGTCCCAAACGACTCTTTTTTGATAGTCAACGGCCGTTGAGATCCGTTAGGCCCGGTTGAACCGGCCCAGGCCCGCCTGCCGATCCCGGGCTTAGCGGTCCCGGGCTCGTAGGCTAAATGTGCAAGACCGGCCCGCTACGGGCTTGGAGTACCATTTGGGACCGGCCCGATAGGCCCGTTTGGCCCGCGATCCCGGTCTGGTCCCGGGCTGGGCCCGGCCCACAGTGCAGCTTAGGAAAGAATAACTTAAAGAAAGAAAAAGAGGAAGCCACCGCTCGCTCAACTACCAGCCATAACGTAACGGAACGGAACAATGGAACTCGTAACGTAACACCGCTAACAGCCGACACTAAAAGTTCCAGTCTCCAACCAATCTTATACCTCCACGTCACCACCATTTAACACGTAGCATTAGTCCTTCTTTTTAAACATACTGAAACCCCTCGTCACTCTACCTCCCCCCCCCCCCCCCGCGCATCTCCTCTTTCTTCACACAATCAATCAGTCGCAAACCCAGCCTTTATCTCATAAAAGACGAGAGAGAATGGAGACAAAGATAAACAAAGAAAGAAAACATTAATTATTTTATTTTATCTGATACTAATAGTAATTTTTTCTTTATAACAACATAGATTATAGAAATTCATTTACATAAAGTCATACAGAAGTTGAAACCCAATCATATATACAGTGAACAAATGAGATTTCGATTTTGATTTTGACTTTTATTAATTTTATTTGATTTTGTTTTTGTTCTTATTATTTTTTTTTTTTGGAATTGGTTAAATTTGAAATCTGCATGAGCGAGACGGTGGGAGAGGAATTGTTGTTGTTGAGAGGATTTTGATTGTTGGCACAACATGTCTGCTATAGTGTGCGGCAGCAAGAGATCCAATTTCTTCGAAGATTTGCAGTCATCACCATCGTCGCCGTCGTCTTCGCCGCCGGTTTCTAAGAGGATCCGTTGCTCTCCGTCTTCATTCTCGCCGCCGCGATCCTCCTCCTCAGCCGCTAATTATTTCTCTACTCCGTCCTCGGCGATCGATCATCTGCTATCGGTCTTCCCTGATATGGACAAACAGGTTTAAATTTTTGTTTTTATTTTGATTAGTTAAGTAATTTAATAATTTCAGAGCAATTATGTTGGTGTTTCAGCTTGTTTTGGAAGTTTTAGGCTTTTGGCTGTAAAGAGAATCGCTTTGTTAATCTTTTTGTTGTGTTGAACTGGAAATGTTGAAAAAAAAAGCTTATTTGATAATTACGGTCACTAATTAATTTTGCGGTGCAATTCATTTGGACAGACAGGTTTTCTTATTTGAAATCTACTAATTAAGTAATTTATTAATGTTAGTGCAATTGATTTGAGTTGTGGCTTGTTTGAATTTTTTCTAGCAGTAAAAATCTTTCATTTGGTGTATTGTACTCTCGATTGAGAAAACATAGGGGTGATTGGGTATAGTTATTCTAGCTAATTTAGCTTTTGCTGTGGCGGATGTTAGCTTTTTAGTGATTTTATTGAAGTTTGAGGGCATCACGTAATTTGCAGCGCAATTCATTTGGACAAACAGGTTTCTTTTTTCAAAATCATTTTTTTTGTTGAAAAAAGAAGTAATATAGTAATTAGAAGTCGTTTGGAATTTCAGCTTGTTTTGGAATTTTGGCTTTAAATTTCCGTCCTTTATAATCATAGTTGTATGGGACTGGGAGTGTTCATTGAAAATGAAACGGTTGATCGTCTATTCTGTTTTAGTGAAATTAGCTTTTGATTTCGTAGACAATGGGTTTTCAGTGAAATGATTAAGTAATTTACCAACCACAGTGCAATTTATTTGGCGTTTCAGCTTGTTTTGGAATTGTCAGCCATAAATATGCTTCCCTTTATATCTTTATTGTATTGGAGTGGGAATGTTGTTTGAAAAGAAAAAGGATGATTTTCTATTCTTATTTTAGTTGAACAGCTTTCAAATGTATTTTCAAAGAGATATTATGGTTCTACTTATCAGTGGTATCATTGACATACTGTGGTTAGTAACTTGTATTGTGGTAGACACACAGAAGACGTTTTGTTATATGTCTATGCTATATCTTGACAGGATTCATCTAGTTGATGTCTGTGTTAACTCTTTGGATACAATTTTATAGTTGCACTATTGAAATATAGAACTGCATCATTGTCTTTCCTCGCGAGATGCCCAGATGTAATCAGCTTTCTTTCTTCTATGAAGAATATAACACATATGTGGAGAGTTAGTTTCAGTTACATCTCTCATGACATTTATTGGTTCTTTGGGTGCAATGGTTGGTTTCCTTGACACGAATTTTAGTAGAATTTAGCATTACCTTGGATCTTGATCAAAGTTTGACCATAACAGTGCAAGCAGAAATTTAAATTTTACCACTTGCTTACTTTTTGTTTCTCGTAAGACTAAATATAAATGCATAGTTATATGGGTTGGAAAAATTCAAGGACATACAAGTTGAATACGGGGATTTTTAATTGTGCTGCATTCAGGGTGGCGGTTAAAGGAGATATCAAAGTAACTTCGAGTGTATGGTTAAAAGAAATATTATGTTTCGAACTATGTATCAAGTTATTAGTATGTGAAGACCGTGTCTTTTGAGATTTTTTTTTTTTTTTTTTGAGATGGAGTATGTGAAGACCATGTCTTTTGTAGTTACTTCTGCATTTTAGTTTAATGACATGGCTTGAGCCTCTATCGTTTTCCCAAACCTGCACAACATGTATAGATCCATGATTTTGGTTCCGTTTAGTTGATGATTTAGTTGTTTATCAGGAAAGTGGTTTGCTTTTGAGTTTAAACAGTAGGGTTTGGTGAAGGGTATTTAGAGATGTTGGTAGAATACTGCAAAAAATCGATGCTTGTGCAGATATAAATTCCTTTAAGGAACAACCAGATGTAGGAAGATATCGCTTTTATTGGCTTTAACTATTTGGATACATCTTGAAATTTACTAGTATGGTTGCTATTGGCTGATCTTCACTAATAGTTTCATGAGATGGACTTTTTAGATAATCTCTCTCTCTCTTTAATTTTTAAATTGACGTTACTTCAGAAAATCTTAGAGTGAATTTATGGAGTCTCCTGTAAAGTAAGTAGAAAAACATAGAAAAACATTTTCTGGAAAGGTATTTAAGTTAAAAAAACGCAAGTCCTTTAATTTAATCTTAAAGAAAAAAGATGGGGGTTTACATATACTCAAAAGTGTTAAAGTAAAACTTACGAAGGATTTTTTGATTGAAAAAAATCCAATGGGGGAGCAGTTTAAAATAACATTATGTAGGATTGCAAAAGTTGATCTGGCTTGAGCTTTTGTTACCACGTCATCCACTATAGTCGCATCTAGTGGATGGGGGTTTACATATACTCAAAAGTGTTAAAGTAAAACTTACGAAGGATTTTTTGATTGAAAAAAATCCCATGGGGGAGCAGTTTAAAATAACATTATGTAGGATTGCAAAAGTTGATCTGGCTTGAGCTTTTGTTACCACGTCATCCACTATAGTCGCATCTAGATTTCTTTTTAGTTCATAGTGCGCTTAAATACATGGTTTAGCATCATAAATATGTAAGAAATCAAGGTGGAGCAATTGCTTATCCCAAAAGAAAAGTGGACCAATTTGCATTGATAAAAAACAAATGCAAAACTAGCTGATCATGTTAAAACATGGATGTAATTGATCACCCTGGTGGTATCTGTGTATATATTGTATATAGTGAATGAATGGGCCCAATAGAGTGAACGGATACATATAATTCATATAAATGACTTACCTAGTTTGGGGTTGAGGCATAGTTGATGGAGTTGATGAAGTTCATGGTTTAGTGTCTTCGATTTCAACTCATGGTACCAATTTTGCTTGTGTTTATTGAATTTTTGAGGAGTTCTGTTCCTGACTTTTCTCGTAATGTAACCTTATTGCGCTTCGAAGGTTTCTGGTTCTCCAAGAAAATGCGAAGTGTCTGCTTCATGCTCGATCTTGAGGTATCGTTCAGTAGACCACGAAGATCATGTTTGTAGTTGCTTTAGATAGGCTAATTTATGAAGTAATCTTATCTTATATCCTACATACTCCTAAAGTAAGCTCTTTATTTTAAAAAAATACTCCTAAAGTAAGCTTTAACATGTCAAACAATTAGGAGGGTACTTTAGGATGGTTCCCTATCAACTTTTTTTTTTTTACTTGAACTTGGTTGCGTGCACATGCTGTTGTTTTACTTACTTAGATACCTCAGCTTTTAAAAGGTGTTATAAATGTTATATTTGAACTTTTAATCACTAGAGGCAGCATGCTTCTGATACTCTATCAAGAAAGACGAGCACTTCAGAGCAGATTCAAGTCCCTAATTGTAAACTAGTGAAATATCGTTCATAATAGCTTATGCAGTTTTGCTGTTTAACATACTAAAAAAAACAGTTATGCCGTTGAAGTAAGTGTTCCCAACAATCATTATTCCTGAATAGTTACTCTTAAATCCTTATAGTTCGCCAATTAGATCCTGAGGCACAATAACCTCTTCTATTCAAATTTCGTCGGCAACCTCTTTACATTTTGATTCAATTGAAATGTCATTAAAAATAAATAACCGTTGAGACCCAAATCAAATTAATCCAATGATTGTTGTAATTACACTTAAATCCTTCCAAACCTTTGCTTGTATTATTTATAAACAATTCTTGCTTTTGGGAATTAAATAGATATGCATCTAAAATTAGAATATATGCTCTAATTAGGTTGATACAACAACAACAACAACAACCCAGTATAATCCCACAAGTTGGGTCCGAGGAGGGTAGTGTGTACGTAAACCTTACCCCTACCCGGGGGTATAGAGGTAGTTTCCGATAGACCCTCAGCACAAGAAGATGAAATATGACAATAGAATAATAACAACATAACCAGAAAGATAGTACCAGCGAGCTAAGAATCACAAAAAAGAAACCCTAAAAAAGCAATAACAATAAATCAGTGCAATGACAAGGTCCTAGGAAAATAGTACGAGCACAACCTGTACCACTAGTATGCTAAAACACAACACTGACCAATTAGATGTACACACAGAACGGAGTAGAAAAACGCTCAACTATCTACTAACCTTCAATCCTAATGCTCACCCAAGGGCCGTGTCGTCGGTGGGCTGGAGTCGCGCCATGTCCTGCCTGATCACCTCTCCCCAATACTTCTTAGGCCACGCTCTACCTCTTCTCATACCCGTCATAACCAACCGCTCGCACCTCCTAACCGGGGTATCTAGGCTTCTCCTCTGCACGTGCCCGAACCATCTAAGCCTCGCTTCCCACATTTTGTCTTCCATAGGAGCCATGCCCACCCTAGCTCGAATATCTTCATTCCTAATCTTATCCAACCTAGTGTGCCCGCACATCATCTCAACATCCTCATTTTTGCTATTTTTCTTTTTTTTTTGATTTGCACCGGGTGTCCGAGTCTCTAAGAGCCCCGACTAATCCCGGGGGTGCACAGGCCCTCGGCAAGGAGTTTCCCGCAAGTGCACCACGGTTAATTCAGGTTTTACCCAGTCCGATGGCCCTCAGAAATTGTTTGCACCCAGTGGGTTTCGAACTTGAGATCTTGAAAGGGAGCAAACCCCAAGGCTCAAGTCTATTTTCATCTTTGTATATGAGAAATCTTGACTGGCCAACATTCAGCCCCATACAACATGGCCGTTCTAACCACCCCTATGTAGAACCTGCCTTTAAGTTCCGGGGCACTTTCTTGTCACACAAAACGCCAAATGCTAACCTCCATTTCATCCAACCTGCCCCTATACGGTGCGTGACATCCTCGCCGATCTCCCCATTCCCCTGGATAATCGACTCAAGGTACTTAAAACTTCCTTTCTTGGGGATGACTTGTGAATCAAGCCTCACGTAGCTGTCCACTCCCCCGTGACATCGCTGAACTTGCACTCTAAGTACTCAGTCTTAGTCCTGCTCAACTTGAAACCGTTCGCTAATTAGGTTGATAGTAATTCTATTTTTCTTTGTATTTGCAGTGGTTGCTTCCCCTTTTAGTTAAAAGATTTGTCGAAGTTACGATGATAATTACTTTAATCTTATATCAATTGCTGATTACTCAAGTCACTATTATGCTTTCTTCTGCGGCTTATCCATATGAGGTAGTCTTTGCTCTTATGGGAAATGTAACTGCAAAATACCCAGCGAAGTGTCCTGTCTCTATGATGGGATGGTGAAGAAGGGAAGTAAGGGGATGAAGGGCAACGTCAAAAAGAGAAATTGCCTTCGAATGATATATACTGCAAACTATCAATGGCTTTAATAGTGGCTACAAGTCTCTTATATAATTAGTCTTGTAACTATAGAAGTCTTGAGTGTAAAGAGTTTTATGTTTGAGGATATAAAGAGTTAGGTGATAAAAAATTTAGTGCAGGGATTGTAGTAATCTCTTTGTATTATCCGCTCTTGCTGTTATTTCCCTAAGTCTCAACTATAGAAGGAAAGCTTTTGTAAAAGTATTCAATATCTGATTCGGATTAACAAAATAAAGAGAAAAATTCTCTAGAAGGAACACAAGCAAAATTGTATTTTAACTACTGAGTGAATTTGCTACAATACCAGGAATGAAGGTAGCCGTCTTCTTATTATTGTCATTATGTCTGTTGTCGTAATTTATTTGTCTTCTGCATGTAATTTTGTTGGAGGAAAAGTGTAAAATATGTATCCAGTTAGAGCATCTATGATGGAACTCAATCGATCAGTGCGATTAAGTTTTTTGGAAGTGTTTTAGAGTTTATGAAATCCTGTAAGAATTAGCTCACCCACCACTTTAGGTTCAAATGCACATAGTAGGATTGATAAAGAAAAGAGGGACATCTTCAGACAGCACCAATTACGGATCTTTAGTTTGGTAAAGGTTATTGCTTCCTTGAAGAGAGAAAAAAGGCTTTTGCTTTTGTAACGTAACAAGGTTTTGGATTGTCTGAAAATATTGCAAGAACTAATTATTACAACACTCCAAATACCTTTTAACTTCTAAAAGTATTAAAGAGGTGCACGTTTTCCGGGTTATTCTTGATAGGTGTCATATATAATCTGTATGTTGACTTTTACCTAATTCAAGACAATAAAAGAAACACATTTCATCTACTAATACTGATACTTGGATTTAAAATTTGTGATCGTTGTTTTATTCTAAGAGGATTTCTATCAATTCCGATTGATCCAGAAATGGTATGCTGTCTGATGATTTTCATTTAGTGATATCATTGATGGATCTAACTTTTGTGGTTCTGTTTTAAAAAACAATTCTATGAGATTGTTGATTTGGATTCTGATAGCATTGAATTGTAAAAGCTACTTTTAGTTTCATGAACATTTTTGTTATCTAGGTATCAAGTTCTACGGCATAGTTTTCTACAGCTTTTCTTGGTCAAACTTTTGTTTACCCTGAAAAGAGGAGAATTTAACCTAGATTTGGAATTTTGTAGTTGCTTGAGAGAGCACTAGAAGAATGTGGTGATGATCTGGATTCTGCCATCAAAAGACTAAATGAGCTTCGCTTGGGGTCTGCTGAGAATCTGGGGCCCCTCACAGGAAGATCTGATGCTACCCAGGAGATCGGCAGCCAGATCTTAACTCAAGGTGAACATCAATGTGTAGATTCTTATTGATTGATATCGGATGTTTTATTTTTTTTCCTTTCTGAATCTGTTTTGATAGAAACTTGGGGAATGACATCAAGTACTTTCTTTTGTGGCATCCTTTGTTTGTGTGCAATAATCACGTGCTATGTAAGATCATGTGAAACAAGACAATTCCGATTGGGTTTTTTTCCGGGAAAGTGATTATGTGAAAAGAGTTATAGAGACATTTCATAATTTTGAATGTGTAGTTTGTATAATTCGCCTTCCTGTAGATGTTCGTTCTGTAGCATTCTATTTAGTTAATCTATGTGATGTTTCCGTTGATCAGTCTAAAACCCTGTACCTTGTCCAATCTGATGTTTGTTTGTTCCTTTCACTTGCTTGAAATGTATAAGCCACGATCCTGGCAGCTCACCTCTCGTGCTATGTTTTTTATATCACAATTGCTATTCCGAGTTTTTACCTCGTGCATGTTAAAAACTGCTTGCCATTTTTACTAGAAGTGCCGTGTAGCTAGTATTCTCTATTCTCCTTAATTGGATAATTTAGTCGGCTGTGGTCAACATTTTCTGACTTATTAACTTGACTCTGTTTCACAAATTTAATACTTGTACAGTTGCTTAGGATAAATATCTGCACTACTTTATTACTTACTAACTTTGATGCATACTTATATTTATTGAATTTTAGTCGTTACTCACTTCTTTAATTTTTGGTTGTGGTGGTGAAATGGTTGCATACGTATAAAGAAATAATGAGTAGTTATCTAAAAATTTCTTTTGTTTGCTTGTGTTCGACATAAAATGTGACTTGTCAAAATGTTTAAGCAATTAGAGTCCACTCAAGCCCAACCTGCTGTTCGTTCATTAGAACGATTATGTTTGGTCGTGGGGCTCTTTAGTTGATTTTAAGAGAAATGTCTTGTTTCTTCGAAGCACTTTACTGTTTCCAAATTGCCTTGAGGTATGACCCTGACACTAGGCTGAAATTCGTGTTTGCTCTGTTCACTTGTTTTCATTAATTGGCTGAGCTGAGGCCATTGATGTACTACTTCGTAATTTTGTGCTTTGAGACCATGTGAGAAAGATGGGGGACCTGAAAAATCCAGGAGCAGAACCCATTTACAATGAAGTAAAGCTGCTACCAATCTTGTTTTATTGCATGCATACTGAAAATGACGAGTGGTTTTCCTCTGAGCTCACTTTCTGTTGATACTTTACCATTCTTTCTTAGGTGTATGTATCAGTACATTTGTTGGATGTCTTTGAAGTTCACTGGCACAAGTCTGTTTATACTGGTAGACACCGTCCCTTAACACATTTTGGTGCAGGTAATGGTGGGCCCATACCTACAGAAGATTCATCGGCAGCAAAAGAACTGCACATGGAGAGTACAGAATGGGTGGAGCTGTTTGTTAGAGAGATGATGAGTGCCTCAAATATAGATGATGCTAAAGTCCGTGCTTCACGAGCTCTTGAAGTCTTGGAGAAGTCTATTTGTGCCCGCGCAAAAGAGGCAACAGCTCGCGATGTCCAGCAGGTGGTCTAGAAATATTTAATTAACTTTATTTTGTCCACTAACACCATTCCGTCTATTTTTTCTTCTATTTTTATTGCCATACCACTGCACTTGATTCAACTGGTCTACATTGTTTTTATTTGCTTAATCTGTCTATCACTTACTATGGACATGGTATACAGTTGTTTTGAAGGTCCTCAATCGGATGTGTAGATGTTGCGAAGCAACATCAATTGTTGCATAAAAATATTGAAAGCAGATATGAAATGAGTTAAAAGTGGGATCTTCCACAGAGTGTAAAGGGAAAATCAAATATGTTTAGATGGTTGAAGAATTAATGCTTTGATGGTCTGGCTATTAGCCTATTAGTATAGATTAGTAGTGTTCTTTCCTTATAGGCACTCACCCCTCTCCCATCACCTCAACAACCAAGCACCACATATCAGTGTTTGTGAGGGTTGGGGCTGGAGATGCACTAAGTATTCCAGGCTATTGATCTTCTTTTGGTATGCCACGTCTACCTCATTCTTTTAAAATGTTGTGCACCTAAAAGGAAAAATGTTATTTCCACAGAATAGTGCTGGCTTTTGACATCAATAATACTTACCATTTCCCAAAAAAAGGGAAAGAAGAATAAATGTCATTCCATATCTATACATATATAGTTATGCTTCCTCGAGAAAAATTATCTATATATTCATAGTTATTTAATTATTCAGGAAAACAACATGCTCAAGCAGCAGGTAGAAGCTCTTATTCAAGAGAATTCTATTTTGAAGCGAGCATTTGCTATTCAACGTGAGCATCAGAAGGAGTTTGAGGATAGAGGGCATGAGGTGAATCAGCTGAAGCAGTTGGTGGCTCAGTACCAGGAGCAGCTGAGAACGCTTGAGGTCAGATTGCCCTCTTTAGCTCATGAAGTTTCGTAACTCATTTCATGGTTTCATATTTATTATACGTGCTTTGTGCAATCCGGGAGCAAAGATAAAATTTTGAAAAGAGAAATGAGGACTAAAATCTGGTTGTCAAGCATGCTTTCCTCTATAGCAAGGGGTAGAATGCACATTCCTCCTGCTTCCCAACATAGAAACTTCCTTTTTTAAGAAATAGTTGTACTCATATATATATGTAGATGCATGCATTATAAATATTGGAAGTATGGAAGTCTTCAGTTCCCCCTGGAAGTATGTTGATACATTTATGCGATTAAGATTTATGTTGGTATATTAATGCTATCAAGAGTTTTATTGCCAGCAATGGTGAGTTGCTTTATTGGGTTCCTGACTCTATTTTTAATTTTCTATCCCACCTCACTTCTCATATATGACATTGAGTGATTGCCCTTTCTGTGTGATCAGGTTAATAACTATGCGCTGTCGATGCATCTCAAGCAGGCGCAACAAAGCAACTCTATCCCCGGGCGCTTCCATCCGGACGTCTTTTAATGTGTATTATGTCCTTACTTATAATGGATAGGATAGCAATAGTCATGTCCTACCATCGCTATAGGCAGCACATGATTCTGGGGGATGATACTAAGCCAGAATCTGTGTTTGCCTGGTTGAAGCCACCTGGTGCTGTTATAAGCCCAAGGGCAGCTGTAGTATCAAGTAAATTATAGACATGGTTTTACTTGCTTTTCTGTTGGTACTTCTAGTTAGACTAGAAGTTTATACTATTCTGGTCTTTTGTTAATGATAACAAACTATTTGAAACACAATTGGCATGCTTTTAGGATTAAGTTCAATTCGATACTCACTCTGTTCTATAGGTGCTTATTAAGGCTGTCTAATGGTTAATTGAAATGATTAACCCCCCCCCCCCTACCCCACCCCCACCCCCAATATTCTGCTGAACTGTATACCCTGTACCTTATCTGTTGTAAAGGATTAAGATAAGCACATCAATTTGATAAAAAGTAGGAAGGAAATCAGTACATTGTATCCTTCAAAATTTGTGCTTTATTTCTTCAAATTGTAGTTGAAATGTGGCCCCAATTAATTAGAGTAGCTTGCTGGCAAGCAGGTGGTTTGGATCTCTTTATCGTGGTGTATTCCGCAATTTGAGATCCACATTGGCATTAAGTCTTTTTCCTGTCAAATCCTGTAAATTAGTGGTTGAAAGCTGAAAATCCGGGCAAAAAAGCTTCAAATACTACTAGGTGCAATGATTTTTTTACATTCTCGTTGTAGTAGTGGGGGATGTGGCTCTTGGCAACGGGTTCGTTCGAACTCGGCACGTTTAATACGGAGCATATATGAAATATGTGTGTGAGTTCAATATTTCCAAATTTAAAATAAATTTATGAACACCGACAATGCTTCTACTATACTTTGGTTGGTTGATCCGTTCAGTTCATTAATGGTCGGCAAGTATGATGGTCCTAGTGATAATCCTCCATATATCACCGGCAGATATAAAAAGCCTCGCGAATTGACTTGGGTTACATGTGTGGTTCTCGTTGTATTAACCGCATCTTTTGGCGCAATTGATTATTGGGGCATTTGCATCTATATCCGTTTTTTGTGCCACATTTTAACTTGTGCCTGCTTTGCGAAAAAAATTGCAAGCGTACCCGCTTTTTTCACATAACTTCAGCCCACGGGGCTGAAGTTTTTCTTTTGTACTGGAAAACTTCAGCTGAAGTTTTTGTCTTTGTAACCGGAAAACTTAAGCTCTAGAGCTTAAGTTTTCCAGTTATAAAATAAAAACTTAAGCTCTAGAGCTTAAGTTTTTCAGTTATAAAATAAAAACTTAAGCAGTTTTCCAGCTTAAGTTTTCCAGTTATAAAATAAAAACTTAAGCTCTAGAGCTTAAGTTTTCCAGTAATAAAATAAAAACTTAAGCTCTAGAGCTGAAGTTTTTCTTTTGTACTGGAAAACTTCAGCTTTGTAACCGGAAAACTTCAGCTCTACAGCTGAAGTTTGCCAGTTATAAAATAAAAACTTCAGCTCTAGAGCTGAAGTTTTCCAGTTATAAAATAAAAACTTCAGCTCTAGAGCTGAAGTTTACCAGTTATAAAATAAAAACTTCAGCTAGAGCTGAAGTTTCCGTTTAGTAACCCGGAAACTTCAGCTCTAGAGCTGAAGTTTCTCAGTTATAAAGGGAAGCTGAAGTTTTTTAAAAAGTGGGTACGGATGCAAACAAAAAGACAAAGCGGCTACAGGTTAAAGAGGGGCGCCCGCAAACAAAAAGACAAAGCGGCTACAGGTTAAAGAGGGGCGCCCAAATAGGGCGCCCCGTGCAATTTTTACGAAATGCTATATGTATAATTTAACACTCAAAAAGGTTCTTATCATAAAATGTTATTATACGGCCTTTGCATTATTTCTTTCGAAACGTGGAGAATTTAAAGAGTTGCAATTTATTGAGTCATTAAAATGAAAGCGTCACGCTTTAGCAGAATTCTCCTTTCATGTGGTGATAAAGCAGCGCGAGGATACTCTTGATTGCCTACAATACTCTGACTTCTTGACAAGGTAATCCCGATATACAAAGTAATAATTATTTTTAATGTAATGTCTTTATATTTGTTTGTAGTGTCGATTATCATAATTTTGGGACAAGAAAAACTTGATGTATACGGTATTCCCGTTTATGCAACCATTGACTTTGGGAAAATTATTCTTTTTCAGGTCTACAACAATGATATCTTATCAGTTTATGGAGAGGAGTGNGGGTACGAGTGCAAACAGAAAGACAAAGCGGCTACAGGTTAAAAGGGGGCGCCCAAATAGGGCGCCCCGTGCAATTTTTACCTGATTATTCCTTAACTTGGGACCAAGTTGGTTATTGGGCTGCGAAAATAGTAATAGGTGTCCCTGACGCTATTATTAAAGTTACTGACAAAATATTAGATTTGAACCCTTGATTTTAAAAGAACAGTGAGTTTAGTGCAAAAACTCTTAAATGTTGAACATATCAACATAAAATTTTGGATTAGCCTCTAGATTGTAGTTTAACAAATTGTAGGAGTACTTTCTTTTCTAGGTTAGTAACTCACTTATACTTAAAGCAATTACCTATCATCATCTTATCTTTGCAAATAACCTCTTAATTTAAGCGGACAGTATATAAGAATATAAAACCGTCAAAGTTCTTGGTTTCTCTAGAAGATTGAAGAAGCTTTTGCCCCTTTATGACAAGGCAAGTACAGTTTCAATTTCATTGTAAATTCAGATGACTTGTAAAGACATTTTTATAAAGACTTTGAAATATCACAATCAGATAAAGTCAATGTTTTCTGGTTTCAAGTCATGAATTTGTGACTAGACTTGGTTTAGACGTGGACTGCTCTTCTGTGTTATGCCACACAATTACTTCATTTGTTTACCAAGGGACTGTTTTCAAATTCTATCTTTAAAGTCTCAGGTGATGTATGATATATTATAGACCAAGGAATAAAGGCAATTATTCCTCAGTTCTCAATATTTGGAATTAAAACATTGGTTGTCATCGATAGCTAAAATCATCTCAAAGTTGAAACGAAAAATTTAGAATTTTTGCATTTTTCTTAACTATAAGGTTGAGCTTTTCGCTAGAAGCTCAGTTTAGAGTTGATTGACCAATTCTTCCTTAATTGATGTGAAAATAGTACGGGCTAACCAATTGGTAATCGAAAAATAACTAGTGTTTGCAAAGTAATTAAAAAATAGCCATCGTTTTGTTGAAACTCGAAAAATCTAGCATAATATGCGGAATTATGCAGCTCCTGCATATATACTTCTAGCATACTATGTTTCAACTTCAGTTCATTATGTTGGAAGCTCATATGTAAAAAATGGGAACTCCAACATATTATGCTGGAATATTTTCGAATTTTTAAGGGTGCTTTTATTCAGATTTTATCTTTACATGAAAAAGTAGTTAAATTTCGGTTACTTTTGAAATTATGGCTTTTTTTTCAATTACTAGTTGTAAATTTGGCTATTTTTTATTTTTTCCCCTCAAGTGACCGTTAGCTCTAGTAGAGATAGATTTTCTTCTAGAAGTCATTTTGTTCAACCTATTTGACATCAAAATTTACTGCATTATAACAAAATTAGGAGCCATACCAAAAATATTGGCTCTTGTCCATAACTGCAGTTGCTTATGAAAGTTGCAGGAATCAAGATCTAGAATATGAATTTTCTAATGAAGATCTTACTTGAAAAGGTTGAAAAACTTGTACTCCACCAATTAACAAGAACATAAGAAAACAAGTCAATGTAATAAACAAACATATATTGTCAGTACAACCATGAAATTGTCTGCTCTGAAACAACACATTAAGATCAAATACTTTGAATACAGAGCCAAAGGTTGTCATTCTTGCTCTTTCCCCTACCTCTTCATGTGCTTTAATTTTCTCTAATCCAACTAATTAAAAAGAGAAAAAAAAAAAAAAGAAAAATCTTAGTTGACTTAACTAAAACCAAAGATCCAATTTCTCATGGAAACTAAGAAAGTAAACTAAACTAAACTATACAATCATTCATGCAAATTCTTGTTCCTATTTGTACAAATCTAAATCATAAAAACTAGTACTAGTAAAGATTTATCATGTAACATTAGACTTTCTTGAATTTTGCTTTGGTAGAACGAAACAGGTTCAAGCTAAGATTCTGCTCGTGACTGTATACTAATAAAAATGAAATAAAAAAGATTTGTAGTAATTTGCATGGATTTTCAAGAAATTGGAATAAGCCTTCCACCAATTTTCATCATCTTCTTGAATTCATCAAAATTAACCATGCCATCACCATCTACATCAATTTTCCTTATCATTTCTTTACAATCTTCCAATTTCTTCCCTTGATTCAATCCCAAAGATGAAAGTACTTTACTCAATTCTTCCTCTGATATTAATCCATCTTTATCATAATCAAATACATCAAATGCATCTTTAAGATCCCTCTCTCTATTTGCTTCCTCTTCTCCACTATTTTCTTGACTTCCAATTATTCCTTCTATTCCCAAGAATGAATGACAAAGCTCATAAAACTCATCAAGATCAATTAAACCATCTTTATTTGAATCAACTTTTTCCACCATTTCAACTATATCTATATCTTCCATATAAATACCAATATTCTTGAGTGATTGCTTTAGCTCTTGCTTTGTTATGTAACCATCATTGTTCTTGTCAAAAGTTGCAAATATACTCCTTAACTCAACCTTGTTATGACTATTTGAAGTACTCCTTTTCATGATTTTTTGTTCAACCATGAAAAGAGGAGATTGAGATGGAGTTTGAGCTTTGATTGAAAGAGAATAGATCCAAGATTGGAATTTTTTTGTTGGGAAATTGAAAAGAGTTGTGATTAAACCAAGAATGAAGAGAAGTGCTAAGAAAAGAATGCTTAGAGTCAACATTTTTTGGCTCTTCTTGTTCTTGGATTCAATGAAACAAAAAATGAAAGATGAAAAAGAGTTTCAAAGTTAAGTATAGGAATATAGTTTTCTTGAAATGAAATAAGAAAGTATTGAAAGGGAAGTATACGCGTTTGTTTGATGCTTTTGCTTTAACTTTTATTTTTTATTTTAAATCTTGATCCCACACAAACGCGTGAAACTGTATTAGGAGTAATTGTAAATTAATTCTTTTTTGGCTATACGCGTGATTTCCATCATTTATTCTAGGTGAAGTAGGGTTAGGTTGCGTGTGGGGGGGGGGGGGGGGAGGGGGTTGTTCAGAATTATAATTAATGGGATTAGTCAAAACTTACTTCTACGTTACACTAAAACCTAAAAGTAAACAATTTGATTATACTCGTAGATATAGTTCGGCTTATGGAGA